CCCAAAGCTTGGGATAGTACATTCTCCACACTGGAAACAGACTCTTACCTTAACGAAGAATTTAAAACTCAAGTAATTGGTTGGGATCATGAGCAAGCAGCACAAAAAGAGTCAGACTATATTATCTTACTTTGGTGACAAAGAAGATCAAAACATACAACCAGAAGAAGACAACAAAGTCAAAGCTGCTTCATCCAAAGCCTCCAAGAAAAATATGAATCGGTCCCAGGCCATGGAAGAGCTCAAATAGGATTTTGAGAAACAAGTAAGAGAAGTAGAGGAAAAACTGGGAAGAGAAATGAGAGTGATGCAAGAAAATCATGAAAAGCAAGTTAACAGCTTGCTAAAGGATACCCAAAAAAATACTGAAGAAAATAACACCTTAAAAAATAGCCTAACCCAAATGACAAAAGAGGTCCAAAGGCCAATGAGGAGAAAAATGTCTTCAAAAGCAAAATTGGACAAATGGAAAAGGAAGTCCAAAAGCTTACTGAAGAAAATACTTCCTTAAAAATTAGAATAGAGCAGTTGGAAGCTAGTGACTTTATGAGAAATCAAGACACTGTAAAACAAATCCAAAAGAATGAAAAATTAGAAAATAAGGTGAAATATCTCATTGGAAAAACAAATGACCTGGAAAATAGATCCAGGAGAGAGAATTTAAAAATTATTGGACTATATGAAAGCCATGATCAAAAAAAGAGCCTAGACATCATCTTTCAAGAAATTATCAAGGAAAACTGCCCTGATATTTTAGAACCAGAGGACAAAATAGAAATTGAAAGAATCCACCAATCACCTCCTGAAAGAGATCCCCAAAGGAAAACTCCTAGGAATATTGTAGCCAAATTCCAGAGTTCCCAAGTCAAGGAGAAAATATTATAAGCAGCCAGAAAGAAACAATTCAAGTATTGTGGAAATACAATCAGGATAACACAAGATTTAGCTGCTTCTACATTAAGGGACCACAGGGCATGGAATATAATATTCTGGAGGGCAAAGGAGAAAGGATTACAACCAAGAATCACCTACCCAGCAAAACTGAGTATAATTCTTCAGGGGAAAAAAATAGTCATTCAGTGAAATAGAGGACTTTCAAGCATTCTTGATGAAAAGACCAGAGTTGAATAGAAAATTTGACTTTCAAATACAAGACTCAAGTGGAACATGAAGAGGTAAACAGGAAAGAGAAATCATAAGAGACTTATTAAGGTTGAACTGTTTACATTCCTGCATGGAAAGATGATATTTGTAACTCATGAGACCTTTGTCAATATTAGGGTAGTTGGAGGGAAAAAATTATATGTATGTATATGTGTATAGATAGATAGATAGATGGATAGATAGATAGAGAGATAGATAGAGGGCACAGGGCGAGTTGAAGATGAAGGGGTCATATCTGGAGAATAAAATTAAGGGGTGAGAGAGGATTATACTAGGAGAAGGAGAAAGGGAAAGGTAGAACGGGGCAAATGATCTCACACAAAAAAAAAAAAGAAAAAAAACAGAAAAAAAAGGCTCTTACAGTGGAGGGGAACCAGGGGAAAGTGAGAGGAAATGAGTGAATCTTATTCTCACAGGATTTGACTTAAGAAGGGAATAACATACACACTCAATTGGGTATGGAAATCTGTCTTACCCTACCGGAAAATAGGAGGGGAAGGGGACAAGAGAGTAGGGGGATGATAGGAGGGCAAATTGGGAAAGGGGGTAATCAGAAGCAAATACTTCTGAGGAGGGACAGGGTCAAAAGAAAGAATAAAATAAATGGGGGGGCGGGATAGGATTAAGGGAAATAGAATTAGTTTTTCACAGCATGTCTACTATGGAAGTGTTTTGCATAACTGCACATGTATAGCTTATATTGAGTTGCTTGCCTTTTCAATGAGGGTGGGTAGGGAGGGAGGAAGGGAGAAAATTAGGAATCCAAAGTTTTAAAAATGCATGTTTAAAAAAAAATGTTTTCACATGCAACTGGGAAATAAGAAATACAGGAAATGGGGTATAGAAATCTATCCTGCCCTACAGGAAAATAGAAGTGGAAGGGGGGGACAGATAGCAGGGAAAGCAGACTAGAGGAAGGGGTATTCAGAATGCATGCCATCTTGGGGTGGGAGGAGGGGCGAGATGGAGTGAAAATTTGGAACTCAAAATCTTGTGGAAGTAAAGGTTGAAACCTAAAAATTTTTTAAAAAAAGAATTTAAAATAAAAAAATGCATATGTAAAAAAAAAGAAAAAGAAAAACAGAAGAAATAACTGTCTTTCTAGATGTGGCCCATTGGAGAGAAGTCAACTATACATCTGCTACTGAGGAGAAAGAAAAGATCTAAGAACAGGGAGAAGAGGGGCAGCTAGGTGGTACAGTGGATAGAGCACTGGCCCTGGAGTCAGAAGGACCTGAATTCAAATCCAGCCTCAGACACAAAGCACTCACTAGCTTCGTGACTCTGGGCAAGTCATTTAACCCCAATTGCCTCACCAAAAACCAAAAAAAAAAAAAAAAGAACAGGAAGAAGAGTCCTACAACCACATGACCCTTGAGAGGTTGTTACAATGGGTCAAACCTACAGGTAAAAGAGTTAATGGTAAATGGAATGTAGGGAAGGGGGAAGAGGAGTAGGGAAAAAAAGGATAATTCAGCCTTAATCTGATTCAAGCAAAAGACTGAACTAAAACTACTTGTTGGGGTAAAGGGCTATTTATACCTCAGGACAACAATTATAAGCTCCAAATTTCTCCATCCTGGCACTATCTCTGGTAGTGAGACTTCTCCCATCCTCCTCCCTACATACCTAGAACTCTGCCTTTCCCAATTCCTCCACCACATACCTACAGACCTTTCCTCTCTCCAACAGTTCTCAACATTTATCTGCCACACACGCATTCTCACACTTCACCCCAACAGTTTCCCCCATATGTGTTCACCCACACTTCTACATCCTCTCATACTTCCCCCCAAATATTCCCCTACTATTACTATTTCCCCCCAACAACTCACACATACCTAGACCATCTCTCTTTCTCCTCTATCAAATAAGGTCTATTTCTTATGATGACTTCCCTCAAAAGGGACTCCTCACTCCTGTCTTGTCTCATTCTCTTCATTGTAATTGAAAAATATCTGCATGGAGAGCCTAAGACTGTTCAAGAAAACAGATGTGGCCATGGAGCCTAGGATGAGCCTCCCTCTTCCATCAGGACCTAAGGGCTAACATATGGAAGATGAATTAGATTCAGGATCATAGACCAGCTAGAGATCACCTCATCCAAACCCCTAATCTTATAAATGTAGAAAATGAATTGCTCAAAGGCACATGATTTGCCCAAAGTCACAGGGGGAATAAGTTGGAGAGCTGAAATTTGAACTCAATTTTCTGATTCCATTTTCAGAGCCTGCTCTATTGCATCACATTGCCTCTCTCATTCACATATTCCATTTGGCTCCAGAGGGCAGAATTAGAAGCAACCCACTGGAAGTTACAGAGAAGTAGATTTAGGCTTGATGGCAAGAAAAAAATCCTCCTAACATTTAGAGCTATCCAAAGTGGAATGGGCTGTCTTGGGAGGGAATGGATTCTCCCTCGCTAATGGCTACAAGTAAATCCTGGTTGACCAATTTATTGAGTATGTTGTAGAAGGGATTCTTGTTCAGTGGCAACTCAGAAGTTGGGTCAGGAAGTCAGTTGATGAATACTTGTTAAGTGCCTACAGACCCTTTGAGAATCTAAGTCCCTATGAGGCCTATTTGAGCATGGGCTAAAGCAGGAGTTGCTAACCTTTTTGTGTCATGGACCCTTTGGAAGTCTGGTGAAGCTTATGGATCCCTTCTCAGAAGAATTTTTTTTTTAATTCATAAAATAAAATATATGATTCCAAGGGAAACCAATTTAATCGAAATAAAAATATAATTTTTTTTTCCATCTAAGTTCATGGACCCATTGAAACCTATCCACTAACCTCTTAGGGAGTCCATGGACAGAAAATTAAGAAACCTTGGTCTAGAACTTGGAAAAATATTGATGTCTTCAACTTTTTTATCACTCTTGACAACTAACAGGGGTTCTGAGGAGACCCGTAGATGTTGGGAGAGAGGCCTACCCTCAAAGCTAACTCTAACCCTTCCATCTGCCTAAATCAATGCAGACTAGAGTCCAAAGGAAGCCCAAGAGTATTTCTGGAGCTGGAAAGGGGGAAACAATTTTTGCCAAACACCCAGAGGGTATTAGAGAAGTTAGGCTATGGGCAATTAGTGTGATTAAATGTTAAAGGTGTAGAGTGGGTGAAGGCAGCCTCTCCACTGTGTGGGAACAGCCTCTGGGGTTAATCTTAGGAAAAGTCAGGAAGGATTCAGAGTCCCCAAATACCATCCTATGTACTTAAGGTCTAAAAGAAATCAAGGGGAAGGTCAGTCTAAGGCTTTTCTGAACTTAAGGATTCAATCTGAGTGAAAGAAGATGAATTAAGGAGAGTTCCAAAGAGGATACCATAGGTGAAGTAACCAGAAGACAGACCCAGTTGTCCGCCAGATTCTACCAACAGAAACCCGAAACTTCCCCCAAGAAACAAGGCTTCTCTTCACTATGAGGGCCAACGATTAAGAAAAGGGAGACAGGCAAAGGGTAGGGCATGACATCTATATGGAAACTATTACTGCTCTCTTCCTCTATCTCCAGTCTTCCCTTTCTCCTACCTGACTTTTCAGTCCTCCTACACACACACACACACACACACACACTCCCCTCAAACTGAAACGTGGAGGGAGGAAAAGGCAAAATCATTCTGAGGAGGGACTAAGCAACAATACAGGAGAGTGGATTCCATACCAAAGGACAGTCTGGACTTGGAACTGGGAGTTGAGACTGTGAGGTCTATACAAGGGACCGTGGATGAATCAAAGGGAATTGGGTCAGCCCTGGGGCCACCTTGGTTCATAGGCTTAGGCCGGAAGAGCTCAATCAACATCGTTCTAGACTAGAGGATGTCACTTTGCAACCATAACTCTATCTTCAAAGTAGCCTTTATTGAATATAAAACAAACAATGCACTGAGCCCAGGGCCAGATAGATGCCATGGGAAGTAAAGTAGGGCAGGGGATTGGGAAAGGGTATGTTATTTCAGGGACGGTCAGGACAATCCTTGAAAAAGTCATTGCACATCATAGAGATAAGGGCCAGAAAGACAGCATACTCCTGGAAGTCCACCTCCTGGTCACTGTTTTCATCCAAGTTCCCCATCAGCTTCTTCAGCCCTTCTTCATCCACCTCTCCCTGAAATACAGAGGGGATTTGGTCATGCCTGGGAGAACAGAGTTCAACATCATGGCGCAATATAAAAAAAAATTAGACTGGGAGTCAGAAGCCCTGGGTTCACATTGACTTTCTACCTTTGTGCCTTTGGTTGGGAAAGTCACCTCACAGGGCCTGTTTTTTTCCTCTGTAAAATGAAAATTGGATTAGGTGACCTTTACAATTCCTTCCAGCTCTAAATTACCTGATCCTATGACTTTCCCTGGGCTCCACTCCCCAGTTTAGCATCTACCTATACCCACCTCACAACTCTATCCATCCAGACAAATGAGAAAGGATGGGTAGTTCACTGATTTCATTTAAAGCCCTGAACCATCTGATTCCAACCTATTCTCCAGTCTCATTGTACATTACTTCTCTTCCCAAAAATCTACAGCCCAGGCATACTGGCATTTTTTTTTTTTTTTTTGCTAAGGCAATGGAGGTTAAGTGACTTGCCCAGGATCATATAGCTAGTATCTGAGGTCAAATTTGAACTCAGGTCCTCCTGACTCTAGAGCCAGTACTCTATCCACTGCACCACCTAGCTGCCCCTAAACTAGCATTCTTGCTGCTTCTGTCTTACCCACAACATTCCATCAATCTCATTGCCTTTATTCTGGCTGTTCCTCCCCAACCCTCACCAAGCCTAGAATGCACACCTTCATCACTCCTAGGCCTCTTGGCATCCCTTATTTCCTTCAAGACTTAGCCCAGGCCCCACTGTCTAGAAAAAAAGTCTTTCTTGATCCCCTGAGCTGCTAGTAACCTCTCTCCTAAAACTACCTCATATTAACTGTGCATATAACCTGAACATACTTAACCATTGGAAAAATAGATTAAGAGTTGGAATGGACCCTAGAGATCATCTAGTCATTTTACAGATGAGGAAATTGAGGCTCAGAGAGATGGAGTAACTTGCCTAAGGTCACATTAATATGAAATGGCAGAACTGGGATTTGAATTCAGGTACCAGAGACTCCAGGTCCAACACTCTTCCCTCTGTTTGGCCCTGCTTAGAGCTATACATGTTATCTCCTCTAATAGAATCTAAGTTCCTTGAGGGCAAGTTTCATTCTTTTTTCTTTGTATCCTCAACATCTAGCATAGCACCCAGAAGACAGTATTTGATTATTAAATGTTTGTTCATTGATTTACTGACTAATTGATTGATCTCTTTAGAATCTATGTGCCCTGGTTAGGAAAAAAGTAAGAGCAGGAGAAAAAAAAATTGTCATTTTTCAGTCACATCCGACTCTTCATGATCCCTTTTGGGGTTTTCTTGGCAAAGACACTGGAGCGATTGCCATTTCCTTCTCTGACTCATTTTACAGATGAAGAAATCAAGGCATACAGGGTGAAGTGACTTGCCCAGGGTCACACAACTAGTAAGTGTCTGAAGCCATATTTGAACTCGGGTCTTCCTGACTCCAGGCCCAGTGCTCCATCCACTGCTCCACCTAGCTGTCTGTATGTGAAAAACTGCTCATGCAGTAAATCTTCCATTCCTCAAAGCAGATTCTTAATCTCAGACTGACTTCCCTCCCCAACCAGGGACCCCCTACCTGCCCCTGGTAGCTCTCTTGAGCCACCTCCTCGCACTATCACAGTGATAGCGAGCTCAGGAAATGATTACAGACCAAACAGAACTAGGCAGGTAAATCTGCTGAATGTGCGGTGATCAGAAAACAAATCTCATCACATATTTCAAAGCCAAAAGTCATTTGGGGGTTTTCTGTCATTTTGGATCATTTGCACCACCAGCAGGAATAACAGAGGGTTATTTTGTCTGCGGGCCCTCTCTGAATTCCTAGGATTTCTTCCTTCCACATTTCTAGGGTGTATATCCTCTTTCTTCTAGCCCAGCTCAGGTGCCACCTCCTATGTGAAGCTTTCCCTGATTCCCCACACCCCATCTGAAAGCGATGGCATTACCCAACCTTCTGAAAGAACTTCCCACTCTCCCTAGATTCATACTTATTTGTGCGCATGTCGAGTTTCTCCTTTTACTTAAAATTGAGAGCAGGGTCTATGTGGGTTTTTCATCTCATTAATGAACACAGTATTCTCTCTGCAATTACAAACTTAAATGAGTAAAGTGAATTAATAAATAAATTGAGTAGAATTAGTCCTGATCTATATCTTGCCACTGGACCCAGAAGGCTCCTTAGGAGAAAGTGAAGCACAGCTCTCCCTCCCTTAAATCCAGTTCACTTGCATGTCGTGGCATCACCTTCCTGATGTCATAGTCCTCTTCAAGAAAAAAGGACAAACTACAACAAACCCAAGGAGAAAAAAAAGAAGGGAGAGGGGGAGCCTGAGTACACATTGGCTGCCACAGCACCAGACCTAAAGGCAACCTACTCACTCCGACAAAGCTGGGGAGCTCATTCTTTAGCAACTGCTTCATCTCCCCCTTGCTCAGCTTGAATTTGTCACCTTCTTTGCCGGAGTAACGGTGAAAGGTAAAGACGATCACGGCCAGAGCTTGCTCCAGGGGACTGCTCATCTTGGGACCTGGAGAGGGGGAGATAACAGATCAGAAGGTCCCCAGAGCAGAGAAGATACCCTTCAAGCCTCCCTAGGAAGTCTTTTTTCCCCACCCAAGCCATTCAAGTCTCCTCTACTCTTCACCCAATACACAAGCAATCTTATCAGCCTTCTTTCATGACTGTAGGAGCCATGTCTTTCTCTTCCCCATCAGATGGGGGGCTCCCTGAGGGCAGAGTCTGTGTCTCTCCCATCAGACTGTGAGCTCCCTCAGTGACCTTTTCTCCTCTTGAACTCTTTCCCACACAATATTCAGTGAATTTGAGGGGGGAAGGAGATGGTCTGACAAACAAAGCTTCCACTTTATAAGGAAGCTTTCCTGTCAGTGGGATTAGAATTGGGATGCCTTGGGACAGAAAAAATCCTTAAGAGGTCATCTCACCCAAGTCCTGGGCCTCTGAACAGGCCCAGACCCATCCAGGCAGGTTAGATTCAAGGGTATAGGCAGAGAAATCTGGTGTTAGGGGCACAAAGACACTCTACGGCCTAGTCCAGCCAGTTCTATTTGTAATGAGTGGGAGGGACCAGTAGGGAAGAAGAAATGAGGCTCTGCTCTATCCCGTTACCTGCCAGGTCCCAGCTTCACCCTGACACATACCCAATACTTAGCCCCACTCCCCACCACTACTGCCATCCTTGCCTAAAGCCTGAGGCTATTCCAATAGCCTTCTTTAATAGTCCACGAGGATTCAGGATTCTTTTTAAGCCTCCTCCTGATACTTTTAGGCTCTGGCCCTGGCAATGACTACAGCCGCAATAGCAGCACCCTCAGCCCAGCGCTGGAGATCATCCTTATATCCCTCTAGCCCACCAGCATTGGCATCATACCCCAGGCTGATATCTTAGAGAGAGAGAGCTAGAAGCACCCCACCCCAGCTTGGAGAGCCTTCCTTCCAGGATGGAAAGTTAGTATTCCAAGTGCTCCGAGCCCATGTTTCAGGGCCTTTGCTATCCCAGACCAAGATCTCTTGTTCTTCAAAAGAAACGGGGTAGCGAGGCCCTTGCTGGCCTCCTCAAAGAATTACCATCTCTTTCTAGCTGAGACCTAAGCAAGAAACTTCTCAGAGGGCTCCAGACTGAAAGACCGCTCAAAAGGGGTTCAAGGAAAAGAGCTAAAAGAGGAAAGACAAAATGATTTTTTTTTAAAATGCTAAATGGAAAAAGAGACAGAGATGAGGACCCAGCCTCTTTTTTGTTATTCAGTCCCATTCCCTCTCGAATTCCCAGCAGCAAAGGACTTACCAGGTCAGGCAGCAAGAAAGATTTCAGGCAGGAGTGAGAAGAGAACAGGGTTGAAGTGTTGAAGATTTATACAGCAGCCCTACTGGTCCCCACTTGGCATTTCAAGGGAAGCCAACCTGTCCTAACCTGATCCCTCCAGCAGCCTGGCTCCTGGCCACCCCCCACCCCCCACCCCCACCCCAGTCCTCTCTTCCCCTCCCTATCCAGAGTCAGCCAGTCTGTCTTTCTTGGAGAAGCTGCCAGGGAAAGCTGGAAGTGAAGGCTGGCAGGGGGCAAAGAGACCCCCAAGAACTGGATATGTACTCCTAGAAACCTGAAGGAGACCCCACCCTGCCCCATCTGAATTTTTTTTTTTCCAGAAAGCAAGCATCCAGGTATTCTGGCTACCCACCTAGGAATAGGCCCAGTCGTCTGGGAAAAGGAGTCAGTCAATTAGCATTTATTAAATGCTTCCAGGAATTGTAAAGTATGGCTGACTCCTCAACGGGACCTAAAAGTTTATTTCATCTATGATCTATGAGACATATATATCCCAAATCCTTAATATGTAAGTAGGATTTCAGATACGTGTGGTGTCTTCACAACAGTTTTCACACCTTTCCCCCTAGTGGACAGTAGTTTTGGGGGGTTTCCTTTGTCCTAACTTTCCAATAGGCAGATCTGATAAAAAGTCAAATTGAGATAAACATTCTGAAGAGATATTCTACTCTTCTATCCCTCAAATGGAGATGGACAAGAGAAGGATAAATGGAGGCAGGAATGGGCCACTTACACAGTCCAGCTTTGAGATTACTGCATGACAGCCAGAGTGCCCAGGGCTCCCTGCTTCTTGGGGAGACCAGAAGAGGCAGCTAGTGGAGATACTAGGGTTCAGAGTGTCTTAAGTTAGAAATCAGGAAAGGACTTTAGAAAATAACTAAACCAATTCATTTTTGAAGATGAGAAAACTGAAGCCCAGAGAGAACAAGAAACTTGGCTAAGTAGATGCCCATCAATTGAGGAATGGCTAGACAAATGATAAATGCAATGGAATATTATTGTGATGTAAGAAACAATTGAGTAGAGCACCAGCCCTGGAGTCAGAACTACCTAAGTTCAAATGTGACCTCAGACATGTAACACTCACTAGCTGTGTGACTCTGGGCAAGTCACTTAACCCCAATTGCCTCACCAAAAAAAAAGAAAAAAAAAGAAAAAGAAGTAAGAAGCAATGGAACATGATGAACACAGAGAAGCATGAGAAGATTAACATGAACTAACTGATACAAAATGAAATAAACAGAGCTAGGAAAATGATGAAAACAATGTAAATGGGATGAACAACCATAAAACAGTTAGAAATAAATGTTACTAAATCATAAAGAAGAAACGACCCCAAAGAAGACATGTCATCATGTCATCCACTCTTTTGCCAGGAGGAAAGGGAGTCAGTTTCTCATAGGTATGGAACATTACATTTAAGGTCAGGTTTTTTCCAATGTAATGACTAATTTTAATGAATTTTTTTTCTTCCCTTCTTTTTCTTTTTTAAAAAAGAATTCTTCATTACAGGAGGGGGAAAGAGGAGGGAAATATGGATAAATCTAGGCAATATAAAAACAAAACATATCAGAAAACTCTTGGCTAAAGTTACATAGGTAGTAGGTTTCACTGTCTGGATTTGAACTAAGGTGTTCTGACACCAATTTGAAATATTCTTTCCATTATCCTGAATCCTCTCTCTGGGGTACCTAGTTCATTGCCAGTCCACCCACTCCCACCCCCGAACTACATGTCAAACTAATTCCCGAGAGGCTAATTCCCTACTGGCTATCAGGTAAAGTTAAAGCTCCCTAGTTTGGCCTTTGAAGCCCCTTACACCCTTTTTTTTTGTCATTGTGGTAGGCATCACCCTATTTTTTCAGTTCTACCTCATGCTACTCCCTTCCAGGTACTCCAGTCGAACTGTATCCCAGCCAAACTGGGCTTGTGCCTTCCTCCTCAGTCCCCCATATAACTGCTCTTTCCCACCTCTACACCTTTGCTCATGCTGTCCTCTGTGCCTGGCATGCGTCCCCAAAATATTCTCACAGTTCAATTCCCAGGCTTCCTGTAAAGTCCAATTTAAATGCCACCTCCTCCATAACATAGAAACACCCACACCCACACCCACACACACACACACACACACACACACAAATCCCTCTATCTAGTTCTATGGTCCATTCCAGATCCAAAATTCTATGATTCCATGAATTGGGAAGCAGTCAGTTGAAAACTGGATGCCCCAGGTTGTGTTTACCACACACACACACACACACACACACACACACACACATCACTCCCACCCTTGACCATCTCCCCAGAGGGTGAGAATGGGCACAGAATATAGTTACCTTGAATTTTTCTTAGGACCAGCCCGCTCACCCCCACCTCTCTCCATCCCAGGGCTTCAATTCCTGGCACCCATCACTGAGACTAGGGCTACAGCAGGGTTAGCCTAACCAACCTTTCCATGGCTGAGCCCATGTCAAGGCCAGACCAGTGGGCAAAGGGTCTGAGGGCTCAGGCCTCAGGTTTTCATGTTTTTTATTCTAAGCCCCTCATCTCATGTATTCTACTGTCTCTCAAACTCTACCCAAAAGTACAGCAGAATCCAGCCTCAGGATTTAGGGTTGGGTTAATGGGAGAGAGAGAGGACTTTCCTCCTTCCTATCTCCCTTTTCAGAACTCTCTATAGCCTTAGTGACCTCTTTATGACTACTACCATCCCCCATCTCAGGCTGGGCCCCACCCTTCCTGCCCCTCATCCAACTCTCCTCCCTCTGCCCCTCTGGCCTTTCTCTTTTTTTCCAGAAGTTAAATTACTCCCTCCCCCTTCCTCCCCACTACCCCCCCCTTCTATCCTGGGTGACTCACCCAGTGGTTTCCAGGACCAAATGCCCCAGCTATGACTCAGTGGGCACCGCCCTCCACCCCCGGGGCCAGGGGCAACATAGTTACCAGATCAGCAAGCAGCCATTAAGGGAGAAAGCAGTAACAATGAGAATCCCCAGCTGAGGCACCTTTTAGAGAAACTCACAAAGGGACCCACACCAAGAAGGGGGGCTCTAGGCTGAGAGATTTCTCAGAGAGGCTCCAAACTGAAAGACCTAACCAGTGAGTGTTCCCCCTTACCCAGACTGAGACCCCACAGAGGACCAAAGCTTAAAGCCAGGCTATATCTAGACCAAAATGTATGGCTGTGTCTGGTCGGTGCTGAGACCCAAATGGCAGCAATGCCTCAGGTATAGACAGGGAAGGCCCTACTTAAAATCCCTGGTACTCCCCAAATTCTCTTTCTTCACCCTTTTTTCTACTTCTTTGATGACCTTTGCTCCTGTGGACTTAAAGAATTTAAGGGTAGAAGGTTAAACAATCATCTTGTCAAACAAATGAGAAGGCCGAAGAGGCCTAGAAAAGGTGAAACTATTTGCTCAGGATCATGCCAGTTGTAAATGAATAAAAGAATGGAGAATCAGAACCCTCGTCATCTGATTCCAAACCCATCCAGGTTATCTCATCCTGGATATAGGGATCTCAAACAAAATTTCCAACCGATTTTCTTCTCTATTACATCTGCTGCTCCTACAAATAACCCTATTTTTATTAAAGAGACCCATCACTCAGTTTCAGATCCTTGGAATCATCCTTATGGATAGTTCTTACAGGTGAAAAGATGGCTCAGTGGAGAGGGTAATGGACCTGGAGTCAGGAAGACTGCAGTTCAAATACATCCTCAGACACTTACTAATTGTGTGACAGCCAGGCAAGGCACTTAGCCGCTCTCAGCCTCAGTTTCCCGCTCTGTAAAATGGAGATGATAAGAGCACTTTCTTCTCAGAGTTGATGTGAGAATAAAATGAGATAATATTTGTAAATTGCTTTGCAAACCTTAAAGTGGTCTAGAAAAGCTAATTATTAGTAGTATTTACTCACTCATATCCAGTCACTTGCTAAGCTTTGTCAATTTTAGTTGCATAACATCTTTACCACCAGTCATCTTCTTTCCATTCACATAGCCACCACTTTAGTTTAGGCCCTCCATCACATCTCTCCTAAACCATTGCAATAGCATTTTTTTTTTTTGGAGACAATCAGGATTAAGTGACTTGCCCAGGGTCACACAGCTAGTGTCGGAGGCTGCATTTGAACTCAGGGCCAGTGCTCTATCTACTGTGCTCCCCAGCTGCTCCACAACAGCCAGCTGATGACATTTCCTTCATCTATTCTCTCCCCTGTCTAATTCACCCTCCACATGGTGGCCCATATGTTCTTCCTAAGGTACAATTCAGGCTATATGTCACTCACCTGCCCCAAAAGCTTTCAGGAGCTCCCTCTATCTATGGGACAAAGCACAAACTCCTTAGTTTGGCATCTGACTTCCCTCAGTCAGGTTCTTCCTACCTTTTCAGACTTCTTTCATACCACTTCACTACATAAACTCTACTTTCTGGCCAAACTAGACTACTCACTTCTTTCTGAGCTCAGTTTTCTTCCTCTTCACTCCATGTCTAAAACGTACAGTGTTGTGGTTCAGTGGTGTCTGTCTCTTTGTCATTTGGGGTTGTCTTGGCAGAAACACTGGAGTGGTTTGCCATTTCTTTCTCTAGTCTATTTTACAGATGAGGAAACTGAGGTAAACAGGGTTAAATGACTTGTCCAGTGTCACACAGCTAGGAAGTGTCTGAGCCAGATTTGAACTCAGGAAGATGAGTGTTCCTGACTCCAGACCTTATACTTTATTCATTGAGTCACCTAGCTGCCCCAGAATGTATAGTATGCACAGTACTCCATACCCATCTTTGTCCCACAGAATCCTGGTCTTCCTTCTAGCTTAGCTCAGGAGCCATCCTCCTCCTTATAACCTTTCCTGATCCCCCAGTTGTGGTACTCTCTCTCTTCTTAGTTTTCCTGGCTGTAAGAAAAACAAGCTTAAAAGTCTGCTAAAGACTTTTGGGACAGACTGTATTTATTTGTATACATGTTTTTCAATACTCTTTTCCACCCCCACCCCAAAATGTAAGCTTTGTAACCATTTATTTTTGTCTTTGTATTTCCAGAACTTAGCACAGTGTAGGCCTGGCAT